GGGGGGGGTGTCTCTCTAACCCTTAGAGAGTGCAGCCAGCTTGAAAAAGCTGGGTTGAGAGCCCCCCCAGGGAACAAACTCAGACCTGCTGCCCCACCCCCCAGCTGTGGGGCACCCACCCCATCTAGATACACTGCTGCAGCTGGGCCCTGCATTCCCCTAACCGGGCCTTGGCCTTCACCCCGAGAGCTCCCCCCAGCACAGGCTGGGCCCAGCCTCACCTTCCCCGTGCGTGTCCGTGTACTGGAATGCCTGCACCAGACGCAGCACCTCCTCCACCGAGCGCCCCACCGGCAGGTCGTTGACCGTGATCTGCCGCAGGACACCCTTGTCATCAATGATAAACAGGCCCCTGAGGGGGAGAAGGGAGAGGGATCATACCCCAATGGAAGCAAAGGATGGGGGTGCACAAGCCCCCCCCCCCAGATAACATCCCAGATCTGTCACGGTGGGGATCCAATGGGATCTGGGAGCCTGCAGCCTCCCCCCAATGGATGTGGAGCACCCCCACCTGCATGGTCAGTACTAAGCAACAGCCCCCCAGGGAGCAGGGACCCCATCCCACCAAATCTCTGGGTGCACGTCAGCGCCAGAGACGGGAGATCCCTAGCCTTAGTCAGAGCAAGACTGGCTCTAGGGTGGCGATACCCGAGTGACCCACCCAGCCTGGCATCCCATAGGGCTCCTTCCATCTCTCCCCGACCCCCCATATACCCACCCTGGTGTTCACTGTTCCCACACACTCCCCCGGCTCCCCGATCAGCATCCCGCTCGCCAGACACACCCACCCTTCGCCGGCCGTGGGGCATCCTTCGACATTAGCTGGCGCTGCTGTGACGTTGGGGAGCAGAGCTCCAGTGGGGCCCCAAAACTGCCACAGGGAGACCAGAGCGGGGCCTCAGCACAAGTGACCTCCGTGCTGCCCCCCCACCCTATCCAGAGCAGCCCCAGAAACTCAGCCACAAGGGCTGTCAGTCACCCCCACGCACCTGTAGGTGATTCCCTCATCCTCCTTCAGCACCCCGTAGTCGGTGGCCATGCTGCGGGTGAGATCCGACAGCAGAGGGATGTTTATGGTGCCCAGACCCCCCTCTTTCCGTGGGGTGTCGACCCTGCCAGGAGACAAGGGGGTTAGTCCCATGCTGTGGTACACCCCCAATCCCAGCCACAGGGACCCCCAAATCTAGATCTGCCCCCAGCACTGGCTCCCCAGCAGAGGCGACCCCAGGGAATGAGGCCACCTGGCCCCAGTGCGTCGGCCACCATCTCCCGCTTGGGTCACAGCCCAGCCTGCAGCAGGTCAGTGGGCTCCGGCACCACCCGACCCTTTGCCAGCCACAGGCCAGACGTCTCCTGGCTTGCAGCATCGGGGGCTGGGGGGGGCGCAGCTGGTCCTGCCAGACTCCCCCAGAGCCACTGGTGATGGGGCATCTCCCCTCCCTCCCACCCCCAACTACCAAAAGACAGACATCCAGGTTAGACACAATCAAAGGAGCGGAGACAGCGCTCAGACTGGGGGGGGGGGGGGGCAAGCTGATAAGCCCCCTTTTGCCCCATGCTGGGGGGGGAGGGGGAAGAAGATACATGCCAGATTAGGCAGCCACTCCCCACCCCCTGTTACAGGCCCGTCTCTGGCTGGCCCCGGTCCCCAGTGGCTAGGGGTGATAAGGCTGCTCTCACAGAGGGTGCCCCAGATAAAGCCAGTAGGAGCCCACTCCGCCCCGCCGGCTGGTAACGGCTGCTGGATTCTAGCCCAGTGTCTCCCACACAGCAAGGAGGGATGGACGGACCCCACCCCGGCCCCCCATCTAACCAGGGAGCAAGGGGCTTTTTGATAGCTTGTGAGGCATTTGAACTGGTCTGTGGGGTGGTTTCAACCCCTGGCACCCAAGGGTGCTGACCCCTCTGGCCCTTCCCCATCCCTAGGGGCCCGGTACCAGCTCCAGACGGGTTAAGGGACTGGACAGGCAGTCCCCCCCCGCCCCAGCCAGTGGTGCCAGGCCCGTTGTGCAGGGCTGGCAAGGTCCTGACCTCACACCCATCGTGAATGGAGAGGGGTGTCTAGGGGGCATTTCGGTCACCGGCCTGGGACACTTCGGAAGGAGACAGAGACCCACAGCATGTGACAGGTGGAAACCATGTTTCCTGCTGCATTAGTCTGGGTCACAATCATAGCCAGCCCCTCCCAGAGGGGAAGACCCCCACCCCATCATGTCCCCTCCCCCCCCCCCCCCCCCCCCCCAGCCAGCTACTCCCCACCATCCCCCTAGGGCCAGATCAGAGATGGGCCCCCCTGACCCGGCCAGTCCCCCAGCCTGGGGCTGGCACCCCCTAGAGGGCAGGGAGACCTCGCCCATGTTCCCCCCACGCACCAGGCCAGGTGGGTGAAGTGCGAGTCCACGGAGGCCCCCAGGACCTCACAGCGCAGCTTGCGGAAATCCTCGGCGCACTCGCTGAAGGCGATGATCTCGGTGGGGCAGACGAAGGTGAAGTCCAGCGGGTAGAAGAACAGCACCACGTACTTGCCTGGGGGGGGGCGGAGGGATAACAGGTCAGCGGGGGCGCTGTGATGGGAGGGGGTGTCAGGCGCTGGAGCCATTGGCAGAGACCCTGTGTTTCCCCCCCCTCCCCCCAATTGCATCCCTGGAGGCGTTTGCAAGCCAGCTGATCTGGTTACAGGGTCTCCCCCAGGAGGTGCTGGGATTGGTCCCCCTCAAGCCCAGGCTCAGCCAATCACAAGCCAGCTGATTGGATTATACACAGGGTCCCCCTCCCCAATTTATCTCTTAAAGAGACAGCACTGCACACTTGCCTGCCCAGAGGCAGGTTGTAAAAACTGCAAGGACCCCCCTCCCCACAGGACTTTAATTCTGCCCCACAGGGGACCCCACCCCTCCCTTTAGGGCAGGGGTGGGCAAACTTTTTGGCCCGAGGGCCACATCTGTGTATGGAAATTGTAGGGCGGGCCACGAATGCTGACAAAATTGGGGATTGGGGCCAGAAACGAGGCGTTCAGGGTGTGGGAGGGGGCTCCAGACTGGGGCAGGGGGGGTGAGGGCTCCAGCTGGGGGTGCATGCTGTGGGGCTGGGGATGAGGGGTTGGGGTGCAGGATGGTGCCCTGGGCTGGGACCAGAGGACGGGGGGAAAAATCAGGGCTAGGGCAGGAGGTTGGGGTGCAGGAGGGGGTCGGGGTGCAGGATCCGGGTGGCACTTACCTCAAGCAGCTCCCAGAAGCTGCGGCGTGCTGCCTGGTCCACAGGAGCCGCCTCTGCAGCTCCCATTGGCTGCAGTTCCTGGCCAATAGGTGCTGCAGAGCCGGCGCTTGGGGCAGGGGCAGCATACAGACCCCCCGGCTGCCCCTACGCGTAGGAGCCGGAGGGGGGACATGCCACTGCTCCTGGGAGTCACACGGTGCCACAGCATGCGCGGAGCCACAGCATGCGCGGAGCAGGGCAAGCCCCGGACCCCGCTCCCTGGCGGGAGCTCGAGGGCCAGATGAAAACGTCTGAAGGGCCAGATGTGGCCCCCGGGCTGTAGTTTGCTTGCCCCTGGTCTAGAGGCTGTGACCCCGTTCCCCATCGCCATGCAGGCAGACAGAGATTCTGGCAGGATCCCCTGTAGAGTGCCCCAGTATTCATGGATGCAGAATGTCCTGCTAATCCTGTACCAGCAGGGGGCGCTGCAAGGAGCAAGGCAGGAGCGCAGGCTGTGGGGGGAGCTCCCCGCAGCTCCACTCCCAGTGCCTTGTGTCAGGGGAGCAGCTTCCCCCCCCCCCCCGCCCCCGTTAGCAGGGACTCAGGGCAGAGCCTTCAGGTGGTTTCTCTCACCTCTGTAGTCAGAGAGTTTGATCTCTTTGAAGGCTCCGTCCACCACGGCCGTGGCGTGGAAGCTGGGGGCTGGCTTGCCAATGTGAGCCTTACCAGAAGCCATGTCCTGCAAGAGAAGCCGGGGCTCAGGACGGGTGGCACTGGTCAGTGGGCCTGGCCAGCAACTGTGGAGATTCTCCCATTCTCTGCAGCAACGGGGGTAGCTTGGAGATGGATCGGAGGGGCCCAGACTTCCAGGAGGTCTCACAGCACCAGCGCCTGGATTTCTGAGCCGATACCAGCTCCCAGACCAGTCCCAATATCATCTCCCTCCCATCTCCGATCTGGGTGATCAGACAATCCCAGCGCCGAGCCCCCAGTCACACGAGAGTCACTCGCATCCCACTAGCTGTTCTGGGTTGGCACTGAGAATGGTAGACCCAGTGGGCATCCCCCCCACCCCAGCACAGGTACAACCCAGGGACTGCCGAGCTAATGCAGGGTAGAGATCTTTTGGGGGAAGGCAGAAGGATGGTGTATCTCCTCCCCAGGTGCAGACAGGTACAGCTGTGCCAGTGTGAACCCACCCAGCCCACCCCCATCACAATTAACCAGCTCACCCCTCTTAGCCTCCTGTATGTGAGCAGCACTTTATACATACAAAGCACTTTTCATCCCCAAAATCGTGCAAATCAACGACACTAATTGGTGATTTAGCAAACCGGGTCAGTGCAAACCTAGGGATAGAGAAGCCAGGAGTTTTGACTCCCAGCACTCCACACTGACAGCATTGAAAGTGACAGCCCTGCTCTCAGTCCATTCTATTGAGCGGACAGAGAAAAGGACCCCGCCAAGCTCCCATTATTTTAAACAGGACCTTGTTAATTTCAGCTCAGAGACCTGGAAATGGAGGGCTTCGCTGCGGGATGAGGCCGGCGAAGCCAGTGGGGAAGAGATACGGGCTGGCAAGCATTTTACTGGGTTTTCCTTCTGTGGCCGTACAGCACCAAGCCCAGGAGGGCCCTGCTCACTACCATGACAGAACAGACCCCGCAAGCAAGAGCGCAGAGCCATCGTAGGACACACAGCTCTGCTTGGGGGTCTTTTCGGACAAGAGCCGCCCTACTCGGCATGGGCAGAACTCCCCCAAAGGACTCCAAGCAATCGGGAGTGTTGCCCTAGTGTCACTGGGGGAAAGCGCTTTCTCCCTGCAGGGTTAGCCTCCAGCCCAGAGGCAGCTGCACTCCAAGGCAGTTTGCACCGCACCCAGGATTCGTCATCATGGTGCAAGCTAAGTGTCGGCACAAGAGTCTTTAGAGCTGAAAGCAGGTTATGGTCTAAGGACCTGGGTTCTGTCCCCGGCCGGCCCGGTGAGTCACCTTCGGCGAGTCACTTTCAGCTTCATGCCTCAGTTCCAGCTCCGGCCCTTTGTCCTGTAAGCACCTCAGGGCAGGGACCACTTCCCACAGGTGTCCCTGGAGCACCTGACACTGCAGGGTCTCTGCTACCAGCACAGAGATCGTCAACTCCGCTCAGCTGTTATGAGGCCACCTTGGCAGGAGCGGGGCCACCTCCCAGCAAAGGGGCATGTAAAGATGTTATGCCTCCAGCTGCAATGTTTACTAGCCACCTGAAGCCGCTCGGTTCCCTGCCCCCTTAGAAGTTGCACTAAACCGGCTTCGCCGAACGGTACAGCAGCAGGACATGGAGGAAACTCACTGGACAAAACCCAAGTGCGAATTAAGACCCACAAGCCAAATCGCCTCTACGCTACTGTCTGGAAAGTCCTGAACAGCACAAAGCGAAGGTGAAATGCTCCCAGCGCAGGAAGGCAGCGGTTCACAGCAGGGAATTAGACAGCAGCCTAGAATTCACCTTGCCAGGGCCCCACTCACGGATCAGCCTCTCTTCCAGCCCCACAACTGTTTCCAGGGGTGCAAGATGGAAATACTCCCCCCCATAACAGTTTCTTCCCTATCCAGCCACGTGAGAAAGTTACCCCCCCCCCCCCCCAGGGGTCAACGTTAACCCACTAGCCCCACCCAGGAAAACCCTGATGCACCATTACAGTGGTTGGCCCCTGCTGGAAGAAGTCAGGGGCTGGCATGTAAGTCAAGGCAAGAGAGAGCCCAGGACGGTTCAGGATCCACGCCCCCCCCCCCCCCCCCCCCCCCCACCCCCCAAGGACGAGGCCGCCCCCCCCAACCGCCCACCGAAGCGGGGAGGCGGCGGCCCCCCCCAGGGCCCCCCAAAAATAGCAGCAACTTTGAAAGCAAAAATAGGTGCAAAGACCCGGGGGAGGACAAAAGGCCCCTTTAGCATCGCCAGGCCCTGGCATGAAACCATCCCCTGCGCGGCTCCTCCTGCAGGGTTTGCAGGGTTTGCAAGACAGCAAGCAGCCCCTGGAGGGGGAGAAGCCATGTAACCTCCCCCCAGGTCTGCTTCAGAGCAGTCACTGTGCAAGAGAGAGGCGCCAGGCCCGGGGGTTAGAAATGCCCCCAGCCCCCAACGCAAACCCGGCCTTGCAAGGCACAGCCAGGCGCACGCAACACAAAAGCACCCACCTTGTCGCTGCTGCTGCGTGCACCCACCACAAAACCAGCCTCTCGCTCCGCAGCGCGTGCACAGCTCGCCTGCAGCCGGGTCTTATAGCCACCCCCCTCTCCCCCTCCACGCCCCCCTCCGGGCTGGGCTGGTCCATTTGGAGCAGAGAGAGGGGGGAGGTGAAGACTAGATAAAGCTAGGGGTGTGGGGCGGGGATTAGACCTCCAAGGGGACTCCCCGCATTGCACGTGGAGGGCGAGGTTCTGGGGGGCCCCCAGCATTGCACGGGGGGGCAGGGCTACGGGCCCCCCCAGCATTGCACAGAGGGGGGCGGGGTTATGGGCTCTCCCTGCATTGCACAGAGGGGGGACCGTCAGGGCCATGTATGGGACCCCCTGCGTTGCAGACGGGGGCGGGGCTATGCCCCCCCCCCCAGCATTGCACAGAGGGGGGTGGGGCCAGCAGTCCCGTGCTCCCCGCTGCAGTGCAGGCGAGGAGGGGTTGCAATGCTGCCCAGCAGGAACCCCACAGCCCATGAGGGGGAGGCTCCCTAGGGGACTTGGGCCAAGCTCTGGTCTGAGCTGGGTGACTCTGCGGAGTCCGTTGATGTTTTATTCCCTTGCCTGCCGCGGCGGGGAGTTTCACCCCAGCCCCATGTGCCTCAGTTTCCCCACTGGTGCAATGATCCCGAGCCTCTGAGGCTTCCAGAGGGTCGGCGGAGCTGGGGAATTAGGGCATAGCTATTAGGACTGTTCCTTAGGGTTTGTTTATGGCTTTATGAATGGCCTTGTGAATGGCACTGGATTTTACCCATGTACATGCCCCCCCCAGAGCGCACAGCACCCCCAGCAAACGCCCCCCACCCCCCCCCCCCACCCCCCCCCCCCCCGCTTCACTCCTAAATGCTACCCCGTGCCACGCACAACCACAGGTGGGGGATGTGGGAATGGGAGGGACGTGGATGGGGCCTTTCCCCTCCAAGGGACATGGGCTGCGATCCAATCCCAGGAACTTCAGAGCCTGGTCCTTAGAGGTTTCTAATAGGATCTGTGGAACTCGCGG